CCAAGTCTCACTCCATGGCTCAGGCTGGAGTGCAGTAGTGCAATCTTGTCTCACTGCAAACTTCGCCTCCTGGATTCAAGCAATTCTCCTGCCTCAGCCTCCTGAGTAGCTGGGATTAAGTCACCAGCCACCATGCCCAGCTAATTTTTGTATTTTTAGTAGAGATGGGGTTTCAACATGTTGGCAAGGCTGTTCTCAAACTCCTGACCTCAGGTGATCTGCCCACCTCAGCCTCCCAAAGTGCTAGGATTACAGGCATGAGCCGCCGTGTCTGGACAGGATTACTTTTTGAGAAGCCAGTTTAAAGATTCATGGATTGCAGACAAGCTGGAACGCCAGGGTAGCCCAGCAGAAACCCTAAAAGTCAGAAACTACAGTGCTTATAATCTCCCCTGTTAAGCTGTGAGAGCACTCATCTTGCTGGGAGCAGAAACAAAGTACTGGAGTTATAGGAAGCAAAACAGAGTAGCAGCCTGTGTGTGCTCAGGTTGGTGTAAAGCAGTTTGAGGCTGAATTGATAATGAGGGAGTTTACTAGATCTAACAATCTCCGAATGCTTTTTACCCTGAAGTCTTCATCTGCTAGAGAAGAGTATGAGTGTGTGTGTGTGTGTGTGTGTGTGTGTGTGCGCGCGCACACACACACACACAGGTTCAATCCCCTACTTAGGTACAATCCCTAGCTCCACCATTCATTAACTTAGAAGTTTTAAGCCTCAATGTCATCTTCTGTAACATAGCAATGATGATGTTTATTGTTTCAACTCCATAGAGTTGTTGTAAGGGTTAAATGACATCAATCACGTCCTTTATGGACTAACCTAAGAACTAGTCAATAAATGTCAGCCATTGTTATTGTGAGAGAATATCGTACCCCATTCAGTTGAGAATATATAATGTTACACCCTACCTTGGAAGAAAAATCCCTGTATCCTTTAGTAAGTGGCAGAAAAGAATTTAGCAGCACACAAATGCCAGGTAACCATAAGGAGTGCCCTGGCTCCACTTCCTCATGAGTATCTTTTAATAGTCCATGATTTGAAGTCTCTCACAGCTGGGTTATTACCATTTGACTCCGACAAAAATGCAGTCCGTTTACTGAAGCTTTTGCTTCAGAATACCACAGCATGTCTAGACAAGAAGTGTGTTGTAATGTAAGGATTTCTGTCTGCTAGCACTTTCTCAAGGCTAAGTCTAAGAATGCAATCAGTTTGGTGGTAATCGATTGGATTCTCACTCTGTGACCTATATGCAGCTTTGAAAGGGGCCTTCTGGAACATTGAGGGGGTTACAAAGGCATGGTTCTCTTGGAGAAAGTCTGAGGGCATCAGGTGATCACAGTAGCTGTGCCAACCATGGAAGTGCATAGGGGTTCAGTAGCTTTAAAGCAGCAACTTGGAAGAGCATACTTGTTTTCCTTCCTGGATGAGACTGTCCTACTTTCAATTCTCTAAGCTAAACGCACAGTGGATGGTTGCCTGGGTGACAGCCTGTAAACTAAGCAGTCTCTTTGCAGCTAACTAAAGACTTTGTGCATGCAGGAGCAGCTTAATTAAAGAAAAAATTTAAAAAGAAAAATTATTTGGGCTGTGCAACACTGTAAAGTCATTAAAGAAAAAAAAATCTGAATCTCTGCTGTTTTTAAATGGATTCCTAGTTGAAGTGTGGGTTACAGCTGTCCCCGAAATCAGTGCCACAATGAATTAGGACGATGTTGGCTTCTGTTTGGCTCGGTGTTTCTTCAACTGTGTACCACCTCCCTCAGCAAAACACAGCACAGGTAAGCCAAATCTCTGATTTTCATCCCATTTTAGATAAACTGTATGTTGCAACTTCTTTACTCCCCAAAGTATGTATGTCCCAAAGGAGGAACACCAGGTAAACTGATAAAAGAAACTCTGTCCTAATCTCAAATAATGATATCCTTACAGTTGTAATAAACTATTTTTTACTTTTCAAATATTGTGATGATTTCCTCCAATACTAATGCAGGTACCTCTAGACCATAGGCTAAATTACTAATGACAAGAAAGTGTATGAAAAACACTTGCTTTCATTGAATTATATACACAGGGGCAATCTTATAGTTTAATCATCCAAATATGTGTAAACGTTACATGGTATGAATCTTCTTGTAACCAATAAGTGTTGTGTGCATATGTTCTTAACCATGTTTTCTCAATGTGAACTGAGATTTCTGTTGCTTTAAATATTTATTACATAAGGTTCAAAATCAAATGTACAGCATAACAAAGGTTTTGGTTTTACCAGTAGATAAACCGCGAATACAATTAAAAATAAAAAAGACTGGGCTTCTAGAAAACTCTGTGGAATGAAACGTTATTTCTAAAAAATCATTGGTGAAAACAATTCTAAATGGGGTGGGCATGGTGGTTCATGCCTGTAATCTTAGCACTTTGGAAGGCCAAGGCTTGTGGACCACCTAAGGTCGGGAGTTCGAGACTAACCTGGCCACAGGGCGAACCCCTGTCTCTACTAAATACAAAAATTAGCCAGGTGTGGTGGCGGAGGCCTGTAATCCGAGCTGCTCGGAAGGCTGAGGCAGAAGAATTGCTTGAACCCAGGAGGCGAAGGTTGCAGTGAACCGAGATCATGCCATTGCATTCCAACCTAGGCAACAGAGCAAGACCCCATCTCAAAAAGGAAAATTTCTAAATGGAAAATTGAGAAATATTTTCTTATGAAAACGCTAAAATGGACATGTAACCATTGAAGGTCAGAAGAGGAAATAGAGCTCACTAATAAAAAGTGCTATGGGTTCGTGGCTAAGCCTAGGCAGCATAGTGAGACTGTCTCTACAAAAACAAAAAATAAAAATAACTAGCAGGGCATGGTGCTGTCTACCTGTAGTCCTAGCTATCCGGGAGGATAAGGTGGGAGGATCCCTTAAACGTAGAAGTTTAAGGCTGCAGTGAGCTATGATCGGGCCACTGTACTTCAGCCTTAAGGACAGAGTGTGACCCAGTCTTTAAAAAATAAAAATAAATTTTAAAAGCTGTGGTCTGTGCATGTTAACAGAAAAAATGAGCTGCATCTAGGAATAGTGCTATGTGGTCATTCAATCTCATTGTCTTCCTCCAGTGACTACCGACTATGTGAGACAATAAATGACCAAATAATGACCACATTGCCCAGTATTGCACTGATCTGATTTGATAACTTGGGGATTGTTGTTTAGTTAAATCTAAATTGTTATATTTTATTTCAGATGATAGATGCTACTTATGAAATGCTCTCCCTTAAGGGTTACATGAAAAAGTTGAACTACAACTCCATGACATTGCTTGGTAATAACCTTGGGGGAAAAATGTTTGAAGTTGTATTTCTACTTTATGAATAAGGTGTGATATAAATATCTATTTCTTGCCTTGGTGCTATTTGAATATCTGATCTTTAGCTTTATTAAAAGACAAGTTTTAATTATCCTTTGTTTATGAAAATATTTTCTTCCCCTCGAAATGATCCTGTAAATACTGTTGCATTTTCAAAAACAAATATATAAATCTAAGTTACAAAGCAATTGCTGGGACAGATGTGTGTACTGCTTTTAATTATTTCTGAGGCCTTATTTTGAGTGCATCATCTGCCCCTTCTGCCCTTAGTAAGGTCCCAAGTACACTGTTTATTAAATGCTAATGATTAAGATAATGATGATTAGGTGACAGCAATCAACCAAACGTCTACTTCTCTTAAAAGAGCTTTAAGAAAACAGGCATTACTGGTGGAAGTGTAAATTGATACAGCCATTCTGGAGGACAATCTGGCCGTACTTTGTGAAATGAAATCCATTCGACCCACTTGCCCCAGAGAAACATTTACAGGGTGCATAATAAGGCCCAAACAAGGATATTTATCATAGTGTTATTTGTGGAGCAGACAACTTAGATGTCCATCATCAAGGGAGTAATAAAATACAGTGAATATAAAACCAACAACCTTGTACATATAAGTACAAGGATAAAGCTTAAAAGTAAAGAGTTAACAAATAATTAACAAGCTCTAGAGCACAATATTATTTGTGTAAATCAAAAACCAATGTAATATAATAGCACTATATGCCTTATAAGGATATACTTATATTGAGGATACCTCTCAGGCACATTAGATTGGGTTCTTATCAGACAGAGGGGATCAGAGCTGAAGGGAAAAAAATAAAACAAGAGGAAAGCCTTACAGGGTCCAGTGTGGCTAGCAAGGAATAATGATCAGTTCATCCCCATCTACCTAAGGTCCAAACATGAAAATGGAAATAAGCCTATTCTGCAAATGTACCTTTAAATACTAGTTCCATTACATTTTTTTTTTTTTGAGATGGAGTTTCACTGTTGTTGCCCAGGCTGGAGTGCTATGGCACGATCTTGGCTCACTGCAATCTCCGCCTCCTGGGTTCCAGCAATTCTCCTGCCTCAATCTCCCAAGTAGCTGGTATTATAGGCATGCGTCACCACACCTGGTTAATTTTGTATTTTTAGTAGAGATGAGGTTTCACCATGTTGGTCAGGCTGGTCTTGAACTCCTGATCTCTGGTGATCCACCTGCATCGTCCTCCGAAAATGCGGGAATTACAAGTGTGAGCCACTGTGTCTGGCCCCATTCCATCTTTTTGGGCAGTAGCACTCTCATTTCTCTGGCCAATATCTGTGCTTCATTTTCCTCATCTATAGAATAGGGATAATAATACAACTGTTCTGATGGTGTTATTTGGAATTAAATAGAAAAAAACACCTGTAAAGCATTTAGAACAGCACAGGACACATAGCAAGCATTCAATACAAATTTGGCAGGATTGCAGTTGTTGTATTATTGTTATTATGTAACTTCACTCTGAACAAAGGTAGAAAAAGACTTGAGGAATTCATTCTCTATTACAAAGTATTCTGCTAGAAATCTGAAGGGAAAACTAATATCTATTCTAGGAAGTTTAAATCAAAGGGAGTAACAGGTAGTAATAATAAATGTCAATTAGAAAACAAAGTAAATAGCAAGAAATGTTGTGGATTCTATTCTAATCACGAGATCTGTGTTTTTAGAAGTTGCCTGATGGAAGCCTCCCAGAGACAATAAAAAGGTCACAGGTTGCCCGGGGTTAGTGAGGAGGGAGGGATGAAAGGACAGAGCCCAGAGGATTGGGCCACAAAACTAAAATGGTGGATACCTTGGTCCAAACCCATAGCATGTACAACACCATGAGTGAACCCTAATGTAAACTATGGACTCTGGGTGATAATGCTGTGTTTGTAACTTCATCAGTTAACAAATGTACCATTCTGGTGCAGGCTGTTGTTGGTTGCAGTAGCAGATAGCGGAGAGGGAATATCTGTTCTTTCTTCCAAGTTTTGCTGTTAACTTAAAACTGCTCTAAGTAATAAAGTCAATTTTTTTAAGTCTATTGAAAATTTCTTTTAAAAAAAAGAGTCCCCAGCCTCATCCCAGATCTACTAAAGGAAAGTTGAAATCTTTATTTATAGCAAGGAAATGTTTCTGCTCAAGCAAGTTCAGCACATGCACTGAGCTAAGGCCACCATTTCTCTGAAAGCCGAGGAGACCAACCACACACACTTGTTTGTGTACTGGCTCTGTTGCTGACCTCATCTATTGTCTTTCTGTAAAAGGAACCACCTGCCTTCCCCAGCAATGGGTCCTCCCTCAGTTCTTGGCCTTCAACCTCCTAGACCTTTTCATTGTATATGGTCAATCAGTCGCAAATCCTGTGAACCCTCGCATTCAGATTTTGTTGTTGTTGTTGTTTGAGATGGAGTCTTGCTCTGTCGCCCAGGCTGGAGGGCAGTGATGTGATCTCGACTCACTGCAACCTCTGCCTCCTGGGTTCAAGTGATTCTCCTGCTTCCACCTCCTGAGTAGCTGGGATTACAGGTTTGTGCCACTTGACTAATTTTTGTATTTTTTAGTAGAGACGAAGCTTCACCATGTTGGCTAGGCTGGTCTTGACTCCTGACCTCAGGTGATCTACCCACCTTGGCCTCCCAAAGTGCAGGGATTACAGGCATGAGCCACAATGCCTGGCCACATTCAAATTTTTGTTTCTGCCTTTCTCTTCTGCATCATAATAATCTTCCTAAAGTACCAATATTCCTAAAAGGCACTGCCAAAAGCTCTCCATGGGCTTCCCAATGTGTTGGGGAATCCAGGGTAAATTCCCATCTGGTTTCACTCTCTCCTCAGCCCTGGGTAGAGGCCTGAGTTCATGCCTGTCTCCCATAGAGCTGCCCTTTCTCCTGTGACTCTCCAGATATCACAGATACCTTCTCTTAAGGGGATCTTCCAGATCACATGGGCATCCCATTTCTCTGACATCTGTAAGATTCATTATCTTATGTTTGCATGAACACTTAATCGTATGTGTTCTTTTCTGTATATTGGCTAACCTATTTTGTGTTGTTTATTGAGACAGGTCAATGACAACTGCTGAAGGGCATATAGCATCTCCCTAATGAATGGATGGATTCATGGACTAGTACTATTCTAGAGCGAAATATATGTTCTTGTTTGAGAATGAGGGCTCTGTGTAGTTCAGCCCATGAATTCTGAAGGCATTTGTGTATTTAGAACATTAAAGGGCAAATCTAGACTTTTTATTGTTTGTTTTTTTTAGCTTTCCTCCACAAAGTTGTACTATGAAATGAGCCTCTTGTTCTTTTGCTTTCAATCTCATGCCAGATTATTGCAAGGAAATTGCACATCGAATCCATAACCTGTGGCTACATATAGTGACTAACGTGTCAGAAGCAGAGGTTGGAGCATACAGTCTGACAAAGGATGTCGTGCTGTTACTAACAGCAAGAGGCTCCAGGCTGGGCACGGTGGCTCGTGCCTGTAATCCTAGCACTTTGGGAGGCCGGGGTGGGCAGACCAGCTGAGGTCAGGAGTTTGAGACCAGCCTGGCCAACATGGTGAAAACCCGTCTCTACTAAAAACTACAAAAAATAGCCGGGCATGGTGCTGGGCATCTATAGTCCCAGATATTAGGGAGGCTGAGACAGGAGAATGGCTTGAACCCAGGAGGCAGAAGTTGCAGTGAGCCAAGATCATGCCATTGCCCTCCAGCCTGGGCGACAGTGAGACTCTATCTCAAAAGAAAAAACAGAAAGAAGAAGAAGAAAAAAGAAGAGGCTCCATGCAGGGGAGGGTAGTTTGGTGATCTCCAAAATTGTAATTTGAGATATTTCAATGATTTGGAAAACTGATATGAGATATTTAAAATTGGGGCTTTCCTGGAGAATCTAGAACAGTGGGCTCTGTGCTCCTCAATGACTCCCACTGTGCTAGAATCACAGAGGATGCAAAAGGATAAGGCATGCAATGTCCCTGCTATTGAGGAGCTTACAGTATTGTTGGGAAGATACGACTTTCAGAAAGAAAATAGTTATAAGGTGGTTAACAAACAACACTAAAAAAAAAAAAAAATCCAACAAGAATTTTCACCTGTAGAATTTGCCAACCCTCTGTAGATAATATTTCAGACCCCCACCAACCTTTTGAAGAGGGTTGCTCATTTCCATTTTAGAGATAAGTAAACACAGCCCAGAGCTGAGACATATGCTCATGGTCACACAGTTGGTAATCTGTGGAGAAGGAATTGAAATCAAGGTTCTACTGGGCTCTAAGCTTTTTCTCTTTCCATTCTGCTGTTGATCCATCCTCTCTTCTCCTCTACCACAGCAGACCTTCCAAAATAATGGTAAAATTATTACCTAATTCCTAATTCAACATGTATGCAAAGAATCAAGCCTGGTGGTATTGAGGCATTTTGCCCTCTTTTCAAAATGGTCTTTAAAACTGTTGTAAGATTTGTATACATAAAAGAAGGAAACATGTGGCAGTAAAGGCAGAATATGTTATATTTGAACTACTCACAGCTTTGCTGACTCTCATATAATTAAATCATTCCTTTTCTCTTTAAGGCAATCATGTGGAACTGGCAAGATGAATAAAAATAAACTGATCCATGATTTCCTAGAAGTAGTTTCAAGAGGTGATGCGGAACTCATCTGTGACTATATTACTAAAGTCCAGTCCATCCTCGGAAACCTTGACTTTCAGCACCCAAAGACGGGGAATACACCTCTCATTACTGCAGCAGAGGAAAATCTAACAGAGGTAACATGTGGTGTGCTGAGCTGAGGGATAAAAAGTCTTCCAAGCTAAGGATTCTGAAAGTGAGATATTTGTGAATAGTGATATCACCCATCGCCATAAAAGAATGTCTGAAGACACAAAGTAGGGTATGGGGAGGGGGGATACCTTAAATCTAGATAGGAACCATCTCTATTCATTTCCTCATTCAGTCCACAGTATTCCTCCTATATTCAAGGCAATCTCTAGATTTCATGGTGGATCTGGATGTGACTCAAACACAGGTGCCACCCTCGAGAAGCTAATGGTCTAATGGGGCCACATAATGGGGCCCAACTCCATCAGTACCTGGACATTTATGCTGTGCTCTAACAAATGCACGTAAACCTGAAAGTAGGGAAACAGGGGTAAACAAGTGAATGATAAGACCTAAAAGGGCAGGAGACTTTCTCATCTTTGTTCTAGCTATATCTCCAGCTACAAGCAGAGAGCCTGACGCAGCCAGGTGTTAATAAATATGTATTAAATGGGGACATTAATGAAAAAGTAATCTTTTTGGGTCTTATTCATCAGTTATATTATTGTGTGTGGTAATTTATGAAGTTCTGTTTAAGAATGCAGGTAAGAGTGGCCACAATATGAGCACATAGCTTTGGGGAAAGGCAGCAAAGAGGAAGGCTTTCTGAACAGAAAGGGTGAGAATGGGGAAACTAGGGTGGAAAAGACAAATGTCACTCAACTGCTCAAGTTGGTTCTTCTACAAGTTCTTGGGACTTTTTTTGTTTGTTTGTTTTGCTTCGCTTTTTGAGACAGGGTCTTTCTGTCGCCCAGGCTGGCATGCAATGGCACGATCGTGGCTCACTGCAGCCACAACCTTCCCAGACTCAGGTGATTCTCCAACCTCAGTCTCCCAAGTAGCTGGAAACTACAGACACATACCACCACACCTGGCTAATTTTTTTTTTTTTGTAGAGATAAGGGTTTCAGCATGTTGCCCAGGCTGGTCTCAAACTCTTGGTTTCAAAAGATCTGCCTGCCTCAGCCTCGCAAAGTGCTGGGATTCCAGGCATGGGCCACCACACCTGGCCAGTTCTTGGGACTTTATATGCAAGTGGGCCCTCAATCCTGCCTGGTCACCAGCTTCTCTTGACTCTGTTATTAAGCCCTTTTTCTCTTTTGACTCCTTTCCATGAATGCTTTTTAAACAAATTATAAAATATAGCACATATGCTAAAAAGAAAGAAAGAAAGAAAGAAAGAAAGAAAGAAAGAAAGAAAGAAAGAAAGAAGGAAAGAAAGAAAGAAAATAAAACAAGCACCTGGTGCCAGGTGTGGTGGCTCACACCCGTAATCCCAGCACTTCAGGAGGCTGAGGTGGGCAGATCACAGGTTCAGGAGATCAAGACCATCCTGGCCAACATGGTGAAGCCCGTCTCTACTAAAAATACAAAAAATTAGCTGGGCGTGGTGGTGTGCGGCTATAGTCCCAGCTACTTGGGAGGCTGAGGCAGGAGAATTGTTTAAACCTGGGAGGTGGAGGTTGCAGTGAGCCGAAATTGCACCACTGCACTCCAGCCTGGCAACAGAGAGAGACTTGGTCTCAAAACAAAAACAAAAACAAAAAACAAAAAACAAAACAACAACAACAACAACAAAAAACAGGCACCTGTGTACCCAATGCCCAGGCCAAAAATTAGAATGTTGCCCTGCCTCAAAAGCCTTCTCTATACATGCCTGTCTTAAATTGCATATCTATCCTGGCTAACCATTATCTCGAATTTCGGTTTAATAATTTCCTTGCCACCTATGCATTCATGCCTAAATAATTATTTGCTTTTTCCTGCTTTTGAATTTTATAAAAACAAACTCACACTGTGTATGCTCCTGCATAACTTTTTTTTTTGAGATGAAATCTCACTCTGTTGCCCAGGCTGGAGTGTAGTGGTGCGATCTTGGTTCACTGCAACCTCTATCTCCTGGGTTTAAGTGATTCTCTTGCCTCAGTCTCCTGAGTAGCTAGGACTACAGACATGCGCCACCACACCTGGCTAATTTTTTGTATTTTTAGCACAGACAAGGTTTTACCATATCGGCCAGGCTGGCCTCAAATTCCTGACTTCAAGCAATCCTCCCGCCTCAGCCTCCCAAAGTGCTGGGATTACAGGTGTGAACCACCCCGCCCAGCCATGTTCCTGTATGACTTGCTGCTTCTGTTCTTTATCATGTTTTTGGGGTTCCTCCAGTTTGAAACATGAAGCATAGCTATGGTTTTTCAGTTTTAGTGCTATCTAGTGTTCCACTGGATAAAAATATACGCCACAATACAGGCACAGTGGCTCATGCCTGTAATCCTAGGAGTTTGGGTGGCCAAGCTGGGTGAATTGCCTGAGTTCAGGAGTTTGAGATTGGCCTGGCTAACATGGTGAAACCCCATCTCTACTAAAAATACAAAAAATTAGCTGGACATGGTGATACACACCTGTAATGCCAACTACTTAGGAGGCTGAGGCATGAGAACCGCTTGAGCCCAGGAGGTGGAGGTTGCTGTGAGCCAAAACCGCACCACTAAACTCCAGTCAGGGCAATAGTGTGAGACCCTGTCTCATTTAAAAAAAAAAAAAAAAAAATATATATATATATATATATATATATATATATATACTTCAATGTGTATATATATACTTCAATGTGTATATATATACTTTAATGTATATGTATATATGCCACAGTATCTGCCTATCCTACTTTGGTGGATGTCTGTGTGGTCTCCAGATTCTTGTCATTACAAACAATGATGCTTCTTTCCATCAGCATTTAAAAATGCTTAGATAAGTGCCTTCTGGCAACACATAAAGAAGCAAACACCTCCACTGATTCCATGTCCTCCTGCAACCACTTCCTTTCCTCTCTCAGGCCTTTTTACTTGCAGACATCTCTTGAGAACTATGAAGGATCTGAGATTTTACCATACTCGCAGCTAATGAGTTAGGCTGCCAGAATTGCTTGGATTCCTAGCAGAAGAAACCACTACTGGATCAGAGACAAAGGGCGGCGTATTGATTCATAACAATAGCATTAGTCAGAGTTTTAGCAGTTTTGTATCAGTTCCCTAAGCGCTAATTCCCACTGAGTGATAGGAAGAGGACCAGGTGATCCCTGAACATGCAGTGGGTTGCATGATAGCAGAGGAACCCTCAACTTAGAGAACCCTAATAATTTACAATGGGCAGTAGGTAACTACTCTTTGCTGCAGAGGGAGACACTATCTCTATCTTTTAAAGCCATTCACTATACAAAAAAGCATGAAAAGTTTGCATGGAATAAAGCTGGCACCTTTGCTTATAAGACCTGCAGAAATGTAAGAGATCCATGGCGACTTGCCTCCTAACAATGTCCACACCTTATTTCTATACTATCTTAGCATCTGATGAATTTTCTCATGATTTCACAACTCTGTTGGCCACTCTGATTAATCTGACCAACAGAGGCTGGGACCAAATTCAGTTTGTGTCATATAACAGTCAATGAAAGCTACTGTCAACAGAACTCCAAGCAGCAGGAGGAGGCCAATCTACAGTACTGACCTCAACAATGCCGCCCAAAGTCCTGAACCCATTCAGCTGAACGAATCACATAAACCATCAGGGTCTGCTTTCAAAACCCAGGTGACGGCTGGGCACAGTGGCTCATGCCTCTAATCCCAGCACTTTGGGAGGCTGAAGCAGGCAGGTCACCTGAGGTCAGGAGTTTGAGACCAACCTGGCCAACATGGTGAAATCCAGTCTCTACTAAAAATGCAAAAATTAGCTGGGCGTGATGGCAGGTGACTGTAATCCCAGCTACTTGGGAGGCCGAGGCAGGAGAATTGCTTGAACCTGGGAGTCAGAGTCCAGCACTTTGGGAGGCTGAAACAGGCAGATCACCTGAGGTCAGGAGTTTGAGACCAACCTGGCCAACATGGTGAAACCCCGTCTCTACTAAAAATGCAAAAATTAGCTGGGCGTGATGGCAGGTGACTGTAATCCCAGCTACTTGGGAGATTGAGGCAGGAGAATTGCTTGAATCCGGGAGTCAGAGGTTGCAGTGAGCCAAGACCAGCCACTGCACTCCACCCTGGGTGACAGAGTGAGACTCTGTCTCAAAAAAAAAAGAATGTTTTACTGGTCTATCTTCACTGCCTTCAGTGACTTACCTCTTCAAACTACTGCTCTTCCTTCCTCTATCACTTCCTTCCTCTACACCTTCCTCTACTACTCGATTGAAACTGCTCTTGGCCGGGCACGGTGGCTCAAGCCTGTAATCCCAGCACTGTGGGAGGCCGAGGTGGGTGGATCACGAGGTCAAGAGATCGAGACCATCCTGGTCAACATGGTGAAATCCCGTCTCTACTAAAACTATAAAAAATTAGCTGGGCATGGTGGCGCGTGCCTGTAATCCCAGCTACTCAGGAGGCTGGGGCAGGAGAATTGCCTGAACCCAGGAGGCGGAGGTTGCGGTGAGCCGAGATCGCGCCATTGCACTCCAGCCTGGGTAACAAGAGCAAAACTCCGTCTCAAAAAAAAAGAAAAAAAAAAAAGAAACTGCTCTTGCCAATGTCCCCAACAATGTCTTTGGTCACTTCCTCCTCTTAGCACCATTGGACTCCAATTTTTCTTCAGGTGTTTTCTTCCTTGACTTCCTTCTGGTTTTTCTCCTTACCTCTCTGGCAACTTCTATCCAGTCTCCTTTATGTGTTCTTTCTTCTCATCCCTTAAATATTGGTGGCTTTCAATAATGTGAGGATGGCTCCTAATTCTCAGGCCCATATCATAAACACATTCACATATGCGCACACATAGACACATACATGCACACAAACACACACACACACAAATGTGAAACTCCAACTAAATATCTCCACTTGTATATTACAGACATCCCAAACACAACATCTTCATCTTTCTTCCCAAACCTTACCTTCCTGAGGGACACCAGCATCAGTGTCACTTATCTTATTAAATCAAATAAACATTTAATTACTTGAAATTGAATTAAATTAAGGCATTACCATCTATTTATCTTAAACCATTCATTCACTCATTCATAAAATATTTATTCATGTGACAAGATCTCTTGCTCTTGGGGATTTACATTTGAATGAAAGTGAAACAACAAATAAGGAAATAAGAAACACTTAAATAAATTATAAATTGTTATTCATACCTTGAAGTAACCAACAGAGTGACTTCTCTTTTGATAAGGTGGTCAAGACATACTTACTGATGTAGTTGTATTTACACGAAGACATAAATGAAGGGCAGCTGAGGTAGAAGGAATAGCAAAGACAAAGGCCTTGGTTAGGAAAAAGCTTGCATTTTTGAAGTGCAGAAAGGTGACTTGATCTTGCAGAGGGAGGGTAAAGAATGGCACAAGATAAAGCTGGAAATGCAGGTAGGGGCTGGATCACGCAAGGCCATAAAGACATGCAAAGGCATTTTCAAAAATTGAGAAAAAATTCACATACCATACAATCTACCTACTTGAAGTAGACACTTCAATGTTTTTTACTATATTCATATTAATGTGCAGTCATCACAATTGATTTCAGAACACTTTTATCATTTTAAAAGGAACGTCTTCCCCAGAAAAAGAAGAGAAAAAGAAACCTGATATCCTTTAGCTATCACTCTCTATCCTTTCTTCCCAACTCCCACCCCAGCCCTGAGCAGCCACTTGTCTACTTTCTGTCTGCATAGCTGTTCTTTTTTTATTGTTTTTTGTTTGCTTGTTTTGAGACAGGGTCTCATTCTATCACCCAGGCTGGAGTGCAGTGGCATGATCAGAGCTCACTGCAGCCTCTATCTCCTGGGATGAGGTGATCCTCCTGCCTCAGCCTCCCAGGTAGCTGGGACTACAGGCGTGTGCCATCATGCTCAGTTAATTTTTGTATTTTTTTGTAGAGACAGTGTTTCACCACGTTGCCCAGGCTTGTCTTGAACTCTTGGGCTAAAGTGATCCACCTGCTTCGGTCTCCCAAAGTGCTGGGATTACAGGCATGAGCCACCATGCTTGGCCTCTGTAACTTTTCTCATTTAGAACTTTGATATAAATGGAATCATATAGTATGTGGTCTTTTATGATTGGTTTCTTTCACTTAGGATGATCTTTTCAAGGTTCATTCATGTTGCAGCATATGTCGGTACTTTATTTTTATAGCCAAATAATATCATATTGTCTTGACATACAACATTTTACTTATCCAATCATCCATTGGCAGAAAATTGGGTTCTTTTCGCCTTTTGGTTACTATGAATAATGCTTCTGTAAACATTTGTGCACAGGTTTTGGTGTGGGCATATATTTTCACTTTTCCTGAGTACTATACCTAGGAGTGGAGTTCCTGGATATAGGAGAGTTCTATGTTTAATCATTTGAGGAACTGCCAGACTGTTTTTCAAAGTGGATGCACCATTTACACTTCCACCAGCAGAAATGGTGGTATGATGGCTCCAAGTTCTTCTCATCTTTCCCACTCTTGCTGTTATCTGAATTTTGATTTGGGCCATTCTAGTGGGTTTCATGCAAAAGTACGTGAAATGGAGAAAAGCCTGTTCCATTGCTTCAGGCAAGGGAGAATGGTGGCCTGGTCTGCAGTGGCAGTACAGGAGACAGATAAAAGTACACTGAAGACAGAAACCTGGAATTATCCTTGATTTCTGGCTCACCATTTACTCCCACATCGAATACATGGTTATGCTCTGTCAATTCCACCTCCTAAGTGCTCCTAGATTATGCCCTCAGCCACTAAATCTCCATTGCCATTGCTCTTGTTCAGTCACTGTCATCTCTCCACAAGGCCACTGTGGTAATCTCCTCCCTGGTTTCACCACTTCCCTTCTTCTCCACATCGATCTATTTCAGCAGTCAGAATGATTTTCTAAAACACTGACCCGATTATGTCATTTTTGCTGATGAAAATCTTTCACTGGCTCCCTACCGCCCTGAAGACACAGCCTTAACTCCTCATAGGGGTTTGTCAGGTCCTTCAGGATTCAGGCACTGCTGATTTCTCCCCGGCATCTCCTTCTCTTCCTTTTCTTAACCTGAGCTCCTTCCAGAGCTGTGAATATTACTTGCTCTCTTATACACACTGCACTTTATTCATACTCTATCTACTGTATTCTTTTCTTGGAACAATCTTTCTCCCAGTCTGCCTGGCTGAGTCTGATTCCTCAGGTGTCAGCTTAGACATCACTTTCTCCAAGAAGTCTTCGCAGACTTTCCAAGATATCTTAATAGATTTTGTCCAAGTGCCCCCATCAGCCTCCTGTATTCACCTCTGTTGTTACATTTATCACCCCATGATGCAATTGCCTTTTTTTTTTTTCAATCTGTCTATGTTCTTCACTAAACTGCAAATACCTTAAAGGCTGGCTGCTGGTCTTGTTCATTGGTGCAGTCTCAGCACCAAGGAGAGTTCTTAACACGTAACAGGGCAATCTATCCCCTCACCATATTTGAATACAGTTTACTCTCTTTCTAGAAACACTTGCAAGAATATATAAACCTGAATCATCTTTGTTTTTGCATTTTTTAGAGACAGGATCTCGCTATGTTGCCCAGGCTAGAGTGCAGTGGTTATTCACAAGTAGGATTATAGTGCACGACAGCCTTCAACTCCTGGGCTCAAGTGATACTCCTGCCTCAGCCTCCCAGTAGCTGGGATTATAAGCACACACCACTGCGCCTGCTCCCTTTGGTTTTGTATTCTAGATTATAGACAGTTATAAAACTTCAATGTTTTGTGTGGGTTTAACATACAATACTCATAGATCTCTAGTCCCTCCAAAAAAGAGTATCCCAAAATCATGCATGTTGTGGAGATTTTTGTTTCCCAAATTAAAAAGGGCAAATAGCAGTCACCCACATCCCAATGAATCAGAGCCATGCCTAAGTCAGTTTTCCACCCAGCTCTGAAGACACTGTTGGTACTTAAAAATATTTAATTAATACTGTGTTGTTTTGCAGGTTGTTGGATTTCTTCTGGAAAAGGGAGTAGATATCACCCTTTGCAATTACAGCAATCGAACTGCAATTCATGTAGCTAATAGCAGTATCCAAAGACAACTCTTGGCATTCAATAGAATCCAGGCTCCCCAAATGCAACTTCTACGAAGTTCATGGCAAGGTGATCTTGAACAACTTCAGCATTTACTGGTTAGTTGATATTTGTTTCTGTCTTTGGGTGGGTGAGTGGGTGGTGAAAAGGGCACAGACTACATATGACTCCTTTTAAAGAAAACTAAGTTCTTTTCCTAGGAAGAATGTAATCCTAGGAAGTTTCAGACAGAATATATGAGAAAGAAACGGGATTGCACAGGACACTGGGGTGGAAGACTAGATAGTAAAGGAACACAGAACACAGCAGCGGCCGATTTCCACCTCCCTCCGGCTGGATGCTAGAAGTCATGCAGCACACCTGGGAAATTATTGGCTCCCAGAAAGCCCCCAGAGGACTACTATCAACTTGCTCAGAGGAGTTCCCTTGGCATCATTGCCATTTGTACAATTGCTGCTTAGATCCCTTTGGACCAGTTGCTGTTATTATCTTTATCCTGAAAAGGGAGTCTGAGAGCCTATGCCTTGCATAATATTTAGTTGTCGTGAAAGGAGTTCGGAGGATACATTTTTAAAGGGCTGTTTTCTCCTTGTGTTTAGATTTTCTACTTACAGATACTTTTTCCCAAAGCAACTTGCAAAATCATATGCATAACCAAGGACATTAATTATTGGTGACTGGCAATTGCCTGCTCTTAGCATTTACCTTCAAAGAGACTGTCAGACCATGTGACCTTCCAACTGAAAGAAAATCAATTGCTGCTAGGAAACAGTTTCTTCTAATCCCTTGTGGTAAAGACACAAACAGACAAAGAAAACAGCGAAAGATATTCTAGTCAGATACAGTTCAAGGAGAGATACAACAAACCAAACAATACTTCAAATTCTTTTGTTGGACCAAATGATAGCCTAAAATTGCCAGATATCATGAACTAAAGCATAAAATTTTTTTGAAAGACAATATATTTTACTTAATGGTATTTTCAGTAGTTGTAATTATAATCCATTGTCTGTTTTTATAACCACATTTTCAACTCCTAACCATTAGCAATCAAGTTTTAAGAAACTGGTGCCTGTGACTGGATCTACATCTTGATCAACAGATGCTGAATTGATATGCTATTGCAACACTATTCTCAGTTTAAAATTTTCATGTTGGTTCTAACTAATAATAAACATTGATACCAGAGGTGGTTTCTCCTTAGTGACTAAAAAATGTTAACTAATTAATTCCCACAGTACCCTGCTGAAGTAATATTATCTCTAGTTTGTCCCTAGAGAAGCTGAGGTAAAGACATTGACTACACTGACATGGCATAAAGTGAAATAGAGATGGAAATTAGTGCATTTCTTTGGTCTATAAAATGAACAGTTTAGGTGTTTTGGCCTTCCAGTAGCTTTTCAGCTTTGAATGATCCAAATTAAATGTTACTTTCATTAAAGCATCAGATTACATCCATATACCTCCCTCCATTTGACTATATAAATAATACGGTTAAACGAGATGCTTTTTTTTGGTTTGTTTAAATAAAGATGCGGTTTCACCATGTTGGTCAGGCTGGTCTTGAACTCCCGACCTCAGGTGATCCACCCACCTTGGCCTCCAAAGTGCTTGGATTATAGGCATGAGCCACCACGCCCGGCCAAGTGAGATACTTTTTAAATTTTTTAAAATTTTTTGAGACAGGGTCACACTGTGTTGCCCAGGCTGAAGTACAGTGGCATCATGGCCACTGCAGCCTTGACCTTCCCGGGCTCAGGTGATTCTCCCACCTCAGCCTCCTGAGTCACCAGGACTACAGGTGCATGCCACCATGTCTGGCTAATGTTTTGTATTTTTAGTAGAGATGGGGTTTTGCCATATTGCCCAGACTGTTCTCAAACTCCTGGGCTCAAACAATCTATGTGCCTCAGCCTCCTAAAGTGCTGGGATTACAGGCATGAGCCACCATGCCTGGCTGAGCTGCCTTATTATTGTAAATTATTTATTCATTCATTGAATATTTACTGGGTACCTACTGTGTGTCAGACACTCTGCTAAGTGCTTTTTATATTCTAGCTCCAATCAGTAACATCTCCCTATAGGGAAGACACTACTATTTCCCCTTACAGCTAAAGTTTAGCAAATAGGGTTGCTGGATTTTGCAAATAAAAACACAGGACAGCCAGTTAAATTTAAATTTCAGATAAACAACAAGTTTTTTGGTATAAATACATCCCAAATGAAAATTATACATGATTTAACTGGATACTGTCAATTTATCAGGGTGATTTGATCACGTTTTAACAGCGTGTCCCCGATACAACCTTTCAGGGAAGTTAAATAAGCACCTTAAAGAGCTGAGATTGAAACCCAGATATGTCTTTCCAGCTTCTGTTCTTTCACCTCATCAGTTCCCTCTCAGGACAGACATTGAGAAAGAACATATTGAAGTTATAATGAAAAGTTGGCCAAGCAATGAAAATGCAAAGATTAGCATAAATACAGTAGCTATACCGTAAAAACACAACAGAAATAAAGCTGCATGTTTTTAAAGGCATCTGAAGAGTTTCTGGATATAAATTTCCCAAACCAACATGGCTTGACCCCTCTGATGCTGGCTGTGAGAGATGTGGACCTGTTTGAGACTCTTGACATGTACACAGTGTACAGACCTGTGGAAGTTCTGTCCGAGCTCCTAAGTCATCATGCGTAAGTATGAGTCATTAGCCCAGCTGAAGGGTGTCCATTCCATTGTTATTTACAGAAATCACATGTAAACTGAGATATAGATTGTTTTCCTTTCTTTGCTTAGCGTTCTTTTATTTTTCCTTCCTTCTTTCCTTCTTTCCTTCTTTCCTTCCTTCCTTCTTTCCTTCCTTCCTTCCTCCTTCTCCCTCCTTCCTTCCTTCCTTTCTTTCTTTCTTTCTCTTTCTCTCTTTCTCTCTTTCTTTCTCTCTTTCTCTCTTTCTCTCTTTCTTTCTTTCTTTCTTTCTTTCTTTCTTTCTTTCTTTCTTCCTCTCTCTCTTTCCTCTCTCTCTCTCTCTTTTCTTTCTCTGTCTCTCAGGGTCTTGATCTGTTGCCCAGGCTGAAGTGCAGTGGTGCAATCATAGCTCACTGTGACCTCAAACTCCTGGGCTTAATGAATCCTCCTGCTTCACCCTCTTGAGTAGCTATAATTACAGGTGCATACTACTATGCCTGGCTAATTTTTAACTTTTTGTGGAGACGGAGTCTCACTATATTGCCCAAGCTGGTCTCAAATTCCTGCCCTCAAGCTACTCTCCCATCTTGGCCTCCTAGTGTGGGGATTACAGGCTATTTTCTACTATATGTACCAAATGCACATACATCATCGTAAAAGTGACTTCACAATTGCAAAGTGATGTGCAGTTGTTAAAATTTGCTGCCTATTATTCTTATGATATTCTGCTCTTTAATTTGTTGAAATAATTACTGTTTTGGTAGTTACTAGGAAAGTGAAATAATTCTTGAGTATCCAGCTCTCTACCCGCAAGATGTTACTAATTATTTCAGAAAACACTGTCAATGTCTCAAAAGCAATTTATAATAGTGTTTTCAAATTATCTTAAAATTACTATATGTCAAATGCTCTTTTAGGAAGGGAGAGGTAAACAATTAACTTTCTACAAAAAATAAGAGGGTTAATAAGCAATCTCTCATGCTACAATTGCAGTCCTAAAGCTGTAACTTAGTTATCTTGTCATCAAATAAGAGCAGATGGCCTGAGCTCTTTCTCAGTATTTCATATGAATTTTGTTTTGAAAAAAAAGAGGAGGGAGCTTCAAGAACAAAATTATAGTCAAGAGCACAGATATTGTAAAAGGATCAGTTAATATAATAGAGTGAAAATGGAATTTTGAAGCTACCTCAAACTAGTGTTGAGAAATAGTTTGGGCGATTGATAAAAGTGGAGATTCCTGGACATCATCCCAGAGATGGTGTTCAATAGGTCTGGATTGGCGTCCAGAATACTGGAAATCAAGGGATGCCACTTGGAGACACTCTAATCTAGGCAGATGAGCAAACAGAGGTCCCAATGAGTTAAGTTGCTTGCTTAAAGCCACATACCAAGGTAGTGGGAATCCCAATTCTCAGTCCTTTGCTATTTCTTTTGAATTAAGATCTTTGATGAAGAAAAATCCATAAGAGAATATTATCGTAGCTCATGACACATTACCCTATCCCATAGCAACAAAGAGATTCAGATTCAAGGGTTTTAGGATACAGGCCATGAGCAACTTGCTCCTTGTCTCAGAATAGGGCAAGTGAAGCAAGTTTCATCATTTTTTCCTTCACTATAATCTATTAATGGGATTCTCATCATTTAACTTTGGATTTTTCTGAGCTGATATCTAATGCAAGGGTTCAGTACAACATAGGGAAAATAAGAAGAGACTCATGCTGTTGTAAAGGGTCCTAAGATCAGCCAGTTGGGCCTACCAATCACATGGCCAGGTAAAGAGGAATGAAAAGGCCATGTGGAGAGGTATACTTGGATTTTATGACAAGATTGCTCCACTCAACAAAGAGCCCATGAAATTAAAATATCAGCTTAATTTTAAAAAGAAGATTCTATGCCATCCCACCATTTTGAATCATAAAAGGGCTAGCTGTTAGCATTAGAAAAAAGGAATATCAAGAAAGTCAGCAGTTAGCTTAATTATTGAAAAGAAAAAAAATCAAGTGAGCTATTTGGAATGATAGGACCACCGTTTATCAGAATGTTTTAATCCTTATGACTCAGTGAAAAAATTTAAAAATGTAACAACAACAAAAGATGTCTTTATCTTTACTTGATTTTATGCACCCTTAAAGAATTTTAAAAATTTTTGTCCAAAGTTGGGAATTCTCTTAGAATCTTAGAATGTTTTTAGAATGGGGAGAGGAATGTAGATATACAACATATTCCTTTTATTTAAAATATTGGAAAACTGTCGTCCTCTATCTCATACATTTTGAAATCATTATTATTATCCCCAAACTGCATAAGATTACTTTTTATTTATTTGATGTAAATGTTTTCTCTCTCATATTAGTTTTTTTTTCCAATAGATTCAACTAAATAAAGTTTAATATTGATTCTTTTCTTCCTAGAGATCCTAAACTTTGTGATTCTAGTGGAAAATCAGCGATACATTATGTGTCACAAATAGAGAGTTCAAAGAAACAGCAGCTTTTGGACATTTTAATGAGTTCTATGCCAAAACCAGGTAAATACTTTCATTCCATGTGCAAAGTTTCCCAACCCAAAAATTCTAGTTAGAACTTTCTTTTTCTACATCTGTTTGATGGATCCATTTACAGAAATCAAGCCAGCGGCTATTTATTGAGCAGTGGCTTTGTACAAGGCCCATGACTGGGTGCTCTGGGGGGATGCAAAGAAGTCTCATGCAAGGTTTAAACTTTTGAAAATACACAGCATAGTCAGGGGCACATCACATAAGTGAGACAGAAAGAGCTTGCTGTAAACTTGAAAAGGGAAGAGGGACTTACAGCGGTTCTTGAATAAGGGAAAAGGGGAAGAGGGACTTACAGTTGTTCTGGACAACTGTGGGAAGGTTTGATATAGGTGGGAAAAGAGTCCAAGCAAAGACATAGAAACAGCCCAGCAAGAAGTGTAATGAAAAGTGTGCCACTGAGCAGCGTGTGACTTTGTGAAAGTTGCCTGACTATATTGTTTGATTCGCTTTCTGTTTGAAGCTTCGGGGGCAGAGGACAAAGCTATGCCTAAGAAGGTTTCATGAAAGAGGTGAGACTTGATCTGACCCTTGAAAAAAGGATGCAATTTGATTTTGTGGAGCAGAGGCCCCTTGCTGGGAGTGAGCATGGCTTATCCCAGGGGCAAACGAGAAACTAGAACTGAAAGTTCATGTCAAGGAAAAGAGAAACAGAAGGTCAGATACGTAAAGAAGCTGGGTCCCTGGAGGGAAGAGCCTTAGATGTCAGGCTGAAGGACATCTTTTCTTTTTTTTTTCAACAAAATAGATGCTAAAGAATTTCAAGCCGGAGAATGATGAAGGCCATGTTTTAGGAATATTAACCTGTTCCTATGGTATTGGATACATTTGAAGGAAAAGACAGGGATCTCTATTAAGAAACTATAGAAGTGCCCATATGTGTGGTAGTAAGAACTAGGGAATGAGTCCTTGGGTGGGGTGTGAGAATGAGCTTGAGAAATGCTGTGAGTGGTGGGGTCTAGGAGGCATGGTGAAAGAACAATTCACAGAACTGCAAGATGTGAAATTGACAGCAGAGACACAAAGACAAAAGTTGGGAAACTTGAGTCAAAGATGACTAAATTTTAAGACCTGGAAAGTGGGGAGATGGAACTACAACCAACGAAATGGGAGCACATTCTGGTTTGGTGAGGATATTGAACAGGAGGGTAATGAATTTAAAAGCATTGAATTTGATGGAAGCTTAAGACTTTCAAGTAGTCATTTTCTGTAGGACTGGGCTTATGGGAAAGGACTGGTTGAAAGATTAGTTTGGGAGTTCTCTACAGAGAGGAGATTGTGAGGACATGAAAATGGGTGAGATTGTTGAGGGACTGATGAGGGTGATAAAATTGCAGAGGGCTGAGCTGCGGAGGCGCACCCACGGATAGACAGAAGCGGTATGCACATCAGGACTCAGGAAGTGAGAGGAGGAGAATCAGAAGAGAGCTACAGGAAGAAAGGAGCGGGAAATGATGTTAAATTGGAAAAGAGATTACAAATCAGATGTGGTAAGGATGTAAGAAGTTTCAATAGCAGGATGTAGACAAAAGATAGATTGCAGAGAGTAAAGAAGGAAAATACAGTGAAGAAATGGAAGGTCTGGGTATGGATCACTTGTTCAATTTTGTTTCCACTACAACATAAATGGAGGAGCCACTGAAAGAGAGAGTTTTTGTTGAAAGAAGCCAATGCTTATTTGAAGAAGCCAGGATTAACAGGAGGGGATACACATGAGAGCAATGTCCCTAGGGTACAAACTAGGAGGCTGCTGTTTGGTGTTAAGAACTCTATCAATTTAATGTGGCTTCAATAAGAGCTCTATCAATTTAATGTAGCTTCAATCACTAGATAGGAAGTGTGCTCAGATGAGCTGAGAGTCTTTGTCCTGGGCAACTGTAGAGCAAATGTGATTTCCAGCTCATCATTAGGGTTTCACTTAGCAACTTTGCCTATCACAAACCACTAATCCCAAACATTTCAAATGATAGCTGTTGATCCCTATCAATTTAACTCCATGATTCACTCCCTTCTACAAACTAAAAAAGAAAATTTGAGCAATCCAAATTTTTCCATTATAGGATGGTCTGTAAGGTCCTATAAATTGCCCTGATTTCAGTTGTTTGCCATATTGTGTAGAAATTATCCTCACTCACCACAAAATCAGTTCAGGGGCTTCAGGGCAGTGTGTAGATTCAGAGAAAGAAAATCCAATATTGATTGAGCCAGCACTAAGTCTTCAATATCCTGAAAAATACATGGAAGTGATTCAGGGTTTAGTTAAAAGAGGCCAAGAAGCTTCTACTAATCTTCCACAAGTAGAAGTCCATAATGACAGGTCATCCTCGGGAAACATGGAGGGCAGATGTCCTTCCTCTGCACAGCTCTGGAGTAGAGGGTTCCCTAACCCTAAGCTGTTGACAGCCTTAATGGTTAAAAAGTTCTTACTCATGTCCCAGCACCCTACAGGGGGTTTTGCAATGACAATATAGACATTAAGTATGAGGTGACGGGATTTAAGTCAAACTAAAATCTGACTCTTGTTAAGTTTTAGTTTCTCATACAGCTTAAGATTTGGTGAGTGCTCAGATCAGATGAGATGACTGATTCATCCTAACTCTCTAAAAATATTTCACTTGCTCAAAAATCTCAAAGTACCTGTTTGATTTTTTTCTCCTTATGTAATAGCAATTACCATCAAAGCCTTTCAAAAAAAGTAAGCCATCTACTCTGTGGACTCTTGTCGTCACATCTCTTCTTGTGAAAATTAGTGCCTAAAGCTTCATCAGGATCCCAGACCATTATTTCAGGAAAATCTTTCACAAAATGGAGCTGATTTTAGTACATAGAGCTAGATTTTCCGTTGAAATTGCTGAAGATGAATCTTATCAAAACATATTATTATGTTTTTTTTGACAGAAAGACATGCTGAGTCATTGCTTGACATTTGTCATGATACAAGCTCTTCTCCAACTGATAGGATGACAGTTACCAAAAATCAAAACATCACCTTGCAAAGCATCAGCAGCAGTGAGGTAAGAGCCTCCCTTTAAAGAAACAACAGAGAGCCTACTCCATCTACTTCTTCATTTGTGTTGCTTGAATATTTTGTAACAATCATATATTACAATTTTATTTTTAATAAAATAAAGAATCATAAAAAAACACATTTGGTAAAACACTTGTGAAAGTTTAATCTCAGAGCAGTAATTAGCTAGTCAACTCTGAGACTCATGAATAAGATGTGTGTACACGTGTGTGTGTGTGTGTGTGTGTGTGTGCGCGCGCATCTTAATTCTGGCTGTTATAACAAAGACTGGGTAGCTTACAAACAGAAATTTATTTCTTAGAGTTCTAGAGTTCTAGAGGCTGGAAGTCTGAGATCACGGTGCCAGCAGGTTTGAGTCTGGTGAGGGCTGTCTTCTGGATTGCAGATTGCCAAACTCTCGTATACTCACATGATGGAGAGAGAGCTAGCTAGGGCTCTGGGGTCCCTTTTATAAGAGGCAATAATCCCATCATGAGAACCCTACTTTCGTAACCTACCTCCCAAAGGCCCTACCTCCTACTGCCATCACATTGGTAGTTAAGATTTCAACATGTGAATTTTGGTGGGACACAAATATTCAGTAAATAAGTCTGGGCACGTGCATGAGTGTGTGTGTGTGTCTCCAATACCACAGAAGATCGTTTCAGCTGAATCCATGCTAAATAATCAAATGTAGCTTCCTTTTATGTACATTAATAATGAAAAGGAAATCTAGGCTGGCTGTGGTGGTTCACACTTTTATTAGTTCATTTCACACTACTATCAAGATACTACCTGAGACTGGGTAATTTATAAACAAAAGGGTTTAATTGACTCAGAGTTCCACATGGCTGGGGAGGCCTCAGGAAACTTACAATTATGGCGGAAGGCAAAGGGGAAGCAGGCACATCTTCACAAGGTGGTGGGAGAGACAGAGAGAGTACAGTGAAAACTGCCACTTTTAAAACCATCAGATCTCATGAGAACTCCCTATCACAAGAACAGTGTGGTGGAAACCGCCCCAGGATCCAGTCACCTTCTACAAAGTCCCTGCCTTGACACGTGGGGATTACAATTCAAGATGAGATTTTCCAGGGGACACAGAGACAAACCACATCACACCCGTAATTCCAGCACTTTGTGAGGCTGAGGATCTCTTGAGGCCAGGAGTTCTGGACTGGCCTGGGCAACATAAAGAGACCTCATCTCTACTAAAAATTAAAAAATTAGCTGGTCATGATGGCATGCACCTGTAGTCCCAGATACTTTGGAGGTTGAGGCAGGAGAATCGCTTGAGCTCAGGAGTTTAAGGCCACAGTGAGTCATGATTGCACCACTGCACTCCAGCCTGGGTAACACAACAAGACCCTATCTCAATTTTCTAAAAAAGAAAAAGACAGCCAGGTACAGTTGCTCATGCCTGTAATCCCAGCACTTCGGGAGGCCAAAGCAAGTAGATCACCTGAGGTCAGGAGTTCAAGACCAGCCTGGCCAACATGGTGAAACCCCATCTCTACTAAGGGAGCTGGGGAGAGACAGCCTGGGGAGAAATGCCAGACATAGGTGAAGTGGAGGAAGGCAGCAAATCACACTGCCATGTGTGTACCTATGCAACAATCTTGCATGTTCTTCACATGTACCCCCAAACCAAAAATGCAATAAAAAAATAATAATAAATTAATTAATTAAAATAAAAAAATACAAAAAATTAGCCTGGTGAGGTGGTAGGCACCTGTAATCCCAGCTACTCGGGAGGCTGAGGCAGGAGAATCACTTGAAACAAGGAGAGAGGTTGCAGTGAGCCAAGATTGTGGCAATGCACTCCAACCTGGGCAAGAGTGAAGCTCTGTCTCAAAAAAAAAAGGAAAGAGAAAAAAATAGGAGAGGATCATTAATCCGATCATATCAACCCCATTACAGCGTACCAAAAAGGAGGTGCCTCCTCCTGGCCCTGGTTATCATCCTGCCTGTGATGAATGACTTTACAAAAAGTCTCCTATAGTAAAGTAACAGTATTAGTAACACTGTGGCCCACAGAAAACTGTGGGATGAGACCCAAGATGTGCAACAAACTAGCAACAGTGGTTGCCTACAGAGAGAGAACTGGAGATGCACTTTGCACTGTGTACTCATTTGAATCTTTTGAATGCTTATAAAAATTAACATATCCCAAATAAAGGTCCTACTACTCTATATTTTATTGGTTAAAAAAAAAGTGCAAAAAAATTTTTTGACAGAGTCTCCCTCTGTCACCCAGGCTGGAGTGCAGGGGTGTGATCTCGGTCCAATGCAACCTCCACCTCCTGGATTCAAGCGATTCCTCTGCCTCAGCCTCCTGAGTAGCTGGAATTACAGGCACGTGCCACCACACCCAGATGATTTCTTGTGGTGTTAGTAGACACAGGGTTTCACTGTGTTGGCCAGGATGGTCTCAATCTCCTGACCTCATGATCTGCCTGATTCAGCCTCCCAAAGTGCTGGGATTACAGCATAAGCCACCGTGTCTGACCAAAATTGTTTTTTTTATTTATTTATTTTGAGACTGGGGTCTCATTCTGTTGCCCAGGCTGAAGTCCCCAGTGTAAATATGGCTCACTGCAGCCTCGATCTCCCAGGCTCAAGCAATCCTCCTGCCTCAGCCTCCCGAGTACCCAGGCCTACAGGCACAGGCACCACACCCAGCTAATTTTTTTTTGTAGAGATTGGGTCTCACTATGTTGCCCAGGCTAGTCTCGAACTTCTGTTCTCAAGCAGTCCTCTTGCCTTGGTCTCCCAAAGTACTGGGATTACAGGCATGAGCCACCATGCCTGCCCCATTGCCCTTTTCCTAATTGGATTGTTCACTTTCTAACTGTTAGGTTTAGAAAAGTCTTTATATATTCCTGGTATATACATCATAAAATATTTTCTCCTAGTCAAGAAAATAATTTGACTTGTTTTTTTCATCCTTTTAATCTTTCATTGAAAAGAAGTGTTTGATTTTGATAAAAACCAACTTATCCACTTTTTTCTTTATGGATTATGATTTTTGTGTCTAAGAATTCTTCACCCAAGACTAGGTCACAATTTTATCCTATGCTCTCTTCTAAAAGATTTGTAGTTTCACATTTTACATTTATATCCATAATCCAATTTGAGGTGTTTTTTTCTTTTTCTTTTTTTTTGAGACAGAATCTTGTTCTGTTGCCTATGCTGGAGTGTAGTGGCACAATCTCAGCTCACTGCAACCTTCACTTCCCAAATTCAAGCAATTTTCCTGTCTCAGCCTCCTGAGTAGCTGGGATTACAGGTGCCTGTCACCACGCCTGGCTATATTTTTATATTTTTAGTAGAGACGGGGTTTCACCATGTTGGCCAGGTTGGTCTCGAGCTCTCGAGCTCAGGCAATCTGCCTGCCTTGGTTTCCCAAAGTACTGGAATTACAGGTGTGAGCCACCACACCCAGCTGAATTTGAGTTAATTTTTACAAAGTACAAGGTTTAGGTTGAGGTACATATTTTTCCCTGTTGATGATCAATTGTTTCTCTATCATTTGTTGAAAAGATCATACTTCCTCCACTAATTTACTTTCATATCTTTGTAAAAAAAAAAGAAAGAAAAAGGAAAAAGATCTGGGCCAGGTACCGTGGCTAACGCCTGTACTCCCAGCACTTTGGGAGGCCAAGACAGGAGGATCACTTAGGGTCAGGAGTTTGAAACCAGCTTGGACAACATAGCAAGACCCTGTCTCTGCAAGAAATTTTAAAAATTAGCTGGGCATGGTGGTGCATACTTGCAGTCCTAGCTACTCAGGAGGCTGAGACAGGAGAATCTCTTGAACCCAGGAAATTGAGGCCACAGTGAGCCAAGCCCATGCCACTACACTCCTGACCAACAGTGAGAGACCTCATCCCTTAAAAAAACACGTTCAGCTTCTTTCTTCAATTAAACTTCTATCGATTCTAAGATGCATACTTTGCATTTTAATGTCTTTGAAGTCAGATATCTTACAATTGTCATAGTCAAATTGGTACTGTTTTGTCATTTTTAGTTAAGGTACATAAAATAACAATGGATCTTTTTTTTTTTTTTTTTTGAGACGGAGTTTCGCTCTTGTTACCCAGGCTGGAGTGCAATGGCGCGATCTCAGCTCACCGCAACCTCCGCCTCCTGAGTTCAGGCAATTCTCCTGCCTCAGCCTCCTGAGTAGCTGGGATTACAGGCATGCGCCACCATGTCCAGCTAATTTTTTGTATTTTTAGTAGAGACGGGGTTTCACCATGTTGACCAGGATGGTCTCGATCTCTTGACCTTGTGATCCACCCGCCTCGGCCTCCCAAAGTGCTGGGATTACAGGCGTGAGCCACCACGCCCGGCCAAAAAAATGGATCTTTTAATTAGGGACATCTTAGGTTCAGTGAAACGTAGTAGGCTACATTGCTAAACCCAAATCACAATATAAGATGTCAGAAAGTGGATAGAAGAGTGACAAATGATTTTGTAGCATGGAGAATGGTAAAACCTAACTGTCTAGAGAAAAGATATTAATGAGAATCAGGATGATACACTGCAAAGAATCATGGAAAAACCCAGGAATTAGAGGCACCAGGTACTGCAGAAGTTGGGGGTTAGCATGAGGTTGAAAAAAAGAGGGTTTGATTAAAAGTGTATGTAAGAAGCAGAGAGATCCCCAACATTCTACTTCCACTCTATGTAACCGCACCACTACTCCTTCCCCACCCTCACAGAAGGTGGAAAGATTTGTTGGAGAATTATTTGAGCTGGAGTAATTCTGGACTTTTAATAACATGTAAGATGAAAGACGGGAATCAGGTCTCAACCTGGAGGCTTAAGTCTGAATACCGACAGAGAGATTGCATCCATCTTCCTTCCCCACCTAGCTGCCATATGGCCAGCAGCCCATTAATACTACTAAGCCAAAAGACTGGAAGATTCTCTTCTGGAGAGTTAGTAACCCCAGAAAATAGACCGACTGATACTGACATTTTTAAGTCCCCCAAAACCAAA